TACATCATGTCTCTCTGTATATACGGCTGAGTGTCATCTATATGGATGCATAGCACAACACTCAGTCAAGGTTTCATACTCTCCAGCATTCAGGTGCAAAATGACAATATGGGACAGATACAGAATCATTCTATCATTTGGATTAAATATTGGTTGTGGAAAGGGAATCGGCTATGGAGTCAAACTGACTTTTATTCACATACAGACTATAAAATTTATTATCTGGGGATTGCTCATTTCTTCATCTTTAAAATACAGCTAATAATAGTCATAATTTTTAAAAAGTAGAACCCCTAAACTGCTTTGAGGATAAGGACTAAGACCTCAATAGAATTAGTTATATTAATTGTTATAGAGGTAGTAGTGACAGTTTGGGACTTGAGATTTAACTCATATGCTGCCATTTACCCTGGCATCACAGAGGGGAAGGAAAAAATATCCTTACCACTGGACCTAATGTGTCATTATCACTCTCAGACAAGCTTGTGAGCCAGTTCTGCCAGGCCTGGTTATTAGTTACTTTAACTTCAGCTTTCACAATAAAATTACTATTTTATCCTTTAAACTCATTAGACAAACTCTCTATTCTTTATTCACCTTGGATAAAGCATCCTTCATTCATAGAAGATATTTGTAGCTTACCAGAAGTATAATAGTAATGCTTGCTATGCCAGTTTTATGCATTTCTGCAATTTTTTCCACCCCTCAGGCCAGTGGGAGGACTGGGAACAAAATCAACAATTTAGAGGCCTTTTTAGGCAGTGGATTAGTTTTTTATTATTTAACATATAAAAGTAATTTTGCTAAATTGAAATTAAATGCATTGTTCTGGGGCATTTATGACATCTCATTTAAAAAACTGCTGTGAATCCTTTAGAGAGCACTGATTTGTGACTACCAGGCTGAGTCATGAATGGTACTTAGCAAGTAACTAAAAGGACAAATATAATATATATTTGAGTTATTATAAATGTAATTTAAAAACTTGATTTTCAGTTTTACATTTCTAATATATAGAAATAGGTTTAATTTTTGAGTGTTGGTCTGATAGTGTATGACCTTGATAAACTTACTTGTTAGTTTTAAGAACTTTTTGGAGATTCTTTGAGATTTTCAATTTAGACAGTCATGTATTTCTTCTGTGATTAGTGATAGTTTTTCTTTTTTCCTTTGCAATCTTTATGTCATTTATTTCCTTTTCTTGAATTATTGCAATGGCTGGGACTTCCAGGATAATGTTGAATAGCAGCGATAAGAGTGTAAATCTTAATCTTGTTCCTGATCTAAGTAGAACACTATTCAGTTTTTCACCATTAGGCACACTGTTAGCTGTCAATTCCTTACATATTCTGTTAATCAGGAGGAAGAAGTTCTTTTTTATTTCCAGCTTACTGGGAGGTTTTATCATTAATGGATGTTAAATTCTGTCATTTCTGTATCAATTTATATAAGCATTTCATTTTCTCACCAGCTTTAGACAGTTAAGAGAGTAGATTACATTAATTTTCAAATATAGAACCAGCCTTGCATTGCTAGGATAAACCACAATTGGTCATGGTGTGTTATTTTTTAAATATATCATTGGATTTAATTTACCAACATTTTGTTGAAGATTTTTGCATCTGTATCCATGAAAGATACTGGTTCACAGTATTCTTTTTTTGTACTGTTTTTATTTGATTTATTATTAGAGTAATGCTGGCCTCATAAAATGTGTTGGGAAGTGTTCCTTCTATTTTCTCAAAGACTTTGTGTAGAGTTGGAATTTGGTGGAATTCATCATAGGAACTATCTAGGCCTGGAGATTTCTTTTTTGAAGATTTAAAAATTGTGTATTCAGTTTCATTTATAACTATAGAACTATTTATGTTATTTATTTGGGTGAGCTTTGATAATTTTTAGGTTTTAAGGAGTTGTTTCCCTTTATATAAATGGGCAAATTTATTTGCATAGAGTTATTCATAATATGCCCTCATTTTCCTTTTAATAGCCATGGGCTTCGTATGATATTTCCTGTTTTATTCCTGATATTGGTGATTTGTGACTTCTTTTTTTCTCTGTCAGTCTTGGTAGATGTTTATCAATTTTAGTAATCTTTCAAATGACCAGTTCTTTGATATGCTGTTATTTTTTTAAATTACCTCATTCCTCTTTGATTTCTATTGTTTTAAAGTGGAAGCTTAGATTATTTAATTGTCATCTGTATTTTTTTCTAATGTAAGAATTCGATGCTGTAATTTCCTTTTTAAGCACTGCTTTAGATATATCACACAAATTTCGATATGTTGTATTTTCATTTTTGCTCAGTTCAAAATATTTTCTAGTTGTTCTAATTTTCCTTTAGGATCCTTTTGACCCATAGATTGTTTAGAAATTAATTTTAAGTTCCAAGAGTGTAGAGACTTCTGTGTTATATTTCTGTAATTAATTTTGAGTTTAATTCAGTTATGATCTGAGGATATACATGATGTGATCCCAGTTCATTTAAACTTGAGGTTTGTCTTATGATCCTGGTGCTTTTTCTCTTGGTGAATGTTCCATGTTACTTTGGAAAGAATGTCTATTTTTCAAGACATTTTGGGATCAATTATCTGCTATTATTGGGTGGAGTTCTGTATACAACTAGATCCAGTTGGTTGAAGGTGTAGTTCAGTTTTTATCTGAAATCAGCCTTGCTGATTTCCTGTCTACTAGTTCTGTCTAATATAAGAGGAATCTTGAAGTCTCCAGGTTTAATTGTATATTTATCTATTTCTCCTTTCAGTTCCGCCAATTTTTGCTTCATGTATTTTGAAGCTCTGTTATATGCATGCACATTTAGAATTGTTATTCTTCTTGGTGAATTGACACTCTTATCCTTCTATGATGCCTCTTTTGGTACATGGTTTAACTTAACTTCTACATCTTTATGTGGAATCTGAGAAAAATAAGTCTAGGGCATCATGGATTCTTGAATGTAGACTTAGTCTTGACTTTAGTACACCCTTTCTACAAGGCTAATTTGTAAAGGTCTTGACTCCTTTAATGTTAGCTGAACCAATATTACTTGCTTGGCTATATCTTGAACAGAGAAAAGTTAGAAGAGCTTATCATTGAAAAACTTCTAGTCCAGTGAAGCATAAACATCAGCTCGGGCACATGGGTTGTTGCCTCTTCTCTAAAACTGTATGGTAGGAATTAATCTGCTTTTGAAGGGCTTAGTTTCAGTTTATGATTCTGAGTGGATGAAGACTGCTTCCAGGATTCTTGCCGAAGAGTTTTCTCTGCTTTGGTTGTCCTTCCTCTCTGCTTATGAGGAAACAGGCACTGTTTCTAGGAGAGAGGATATCTGTCTCTTGCATAGAAGGCCAAAAAGATGAGCTGAGACCAAAGGAGGCATGGAGAAATGAGGAAAGCCAAAGCCTAAGAAAGAATTTTTCCTTTCCCAGCAGTCTTATGTTTGGTCCCTCAGTTCCTCTGCATTTCTGATAGACTAATACGACAGTCTCAGCCTGTTCTGCCTAAGTACTCATGGCTCTGCATTGGAAATCTCACAGTGCCAATTGTCTCTGAAGCAACCTTTCCTGTTTCCAGTCTGCTCTGTATTAGGAAACGACTATTGGAGAGTAGCATGGGCATGCAGTAAGAAGTTAGTAAGACAGGAGAAAGTACAAAGTCCCTGAAAACATTTCTCTTCTGTCAAGTTACTTATGCTTCAACTAAAATAGTAAATGATCACCAAATTGAATACCACCCTGAAACTCATTGTCACCATTAAAGTGTTATGGATTAACTGTTTAAATTAAATATTTATAATGTTTATAGCATTAGCATAGCTCTTGAATGACTTACGGACTTGTATTCACTCCAGAACAATGTATTACCGTCCACATAACAGAAATGCCATTTTTTGCAATTTGTGCAAACTATAAATCAAGACATTATTACTTAGAGGCATGTTGGCTGTGGCTATACTGCATACTCCTGTGTTTGGTAATGGTATGTGTTGGGGGGTGGGAGGAATAGAGAGAGAGATTTTAGCCTCCTTTTGAGTACTTGCAAAAATTTCCAGGAAAATTAATGGTAGTTGCTGTCTCCTTATATTGCAAAGTGACATCTCTGTTCAAATGTTCCTCGGGGTCTCAGACAGGTACTGACCAGTCTCAAATAATCAAACTTTGAATGTGGCTTTTAAATTGAGGAATTGATAGTGCACATTCTACAAGGTGGTAGGATCCTTCTGCAGAGGTTCCAACCCTGGCTGTAAATAAGTCTAGGGCATCATGGATTCTTGATTTTGAAGGGCTTAGTTTCAGTTTATGATTCTGAGTGGATGAAGACTGCTTCCAGGACTGGAACCAACTGGGAGGTGGGATAGACTTTTGGATAGCACTGATGCCTGTACCAAATTCCAAACAATTATAATAAAAAAATTTTTTAAAGCCATCCAGATAATTTTAGCATGCAGCTAAGGTTAATAACCTGTGCTCTGTAGAATAGGAAGAGGAAGAAAATAGAGAGTATAAAGGAAGGATTATTATAGGCTGTAATTTTCTCAAATTAAAATGGAAATGTATTTTGGGGATTTCAGATACAAGCAAATCCACAAGATGCTGCCTAGAGTATTTCTGTGGACACTTTGAAAAGTGAGAAAAGATAAAATTAAGTGTGCCTGACAAGAAGTGCTTAATAAATCCTTATTCCTCTTTAAAAATGCAGATAACTAATAGAGACCCACATATGCAAATAAGCACAAACTAGCCTTGCATAAAACTTTGTCCGCTTGGCTTGACCCTTCATTCAGTGCTTCCCTTTTACTATCATGGCACTTGGAGAAAATAATGTTTGGTCTGCACAAGTGAACAAGGCTGTAGCACAGCTGCCCCAAGGCCTGAGAAGTCAGAGTCTGGTGGAAAACAGATGGGACTGTTTGTCCCTGGGAGACTGGACAGTTGGCAAGATTGCTAGGTATTTATTGACCAGAGTGCACCCCCTCAAGATTATTTTCATTTTACTTACAGCACCAACGAGACCCTGGAAGCCAACGAGATGACTGCCAGCATAAAAGGTAATAGTAAGAGTTACAACTTGTTGAACAAATACTATGTGCATCTACTATGCTAAAGTGCTTTTCATATGTCAGTTTCTTGAATTTTTCTGATTGCCTTGTAAGGTCGGCATTATTCCTACATCCCATTTTCCAGATGAGGAATCTGAGATCAAGAATGAGTGACTTGCTACTCCTGTCCTCCTGTCCTCCTGACATTCTGTGCCACCTCAAGTACTTCATCTTCTCTATTCTATCCACTTTCCATCTGCATGCTCCTTCCTGGGTTTGCCAGTGGCGGAGCCTTGTAAGGTATATTCTACCCCAGATTTTAGCTGTCTTCAACCTCCTTTTCATTTGTGATTCAGAGCTTGCCTTTTCTTTGTGACCTTCCCTGATCACCATGTTGATCTCCTCCACTTTGGAATCCTGTAGCATTTATAGTAAGCTCTGTTGTACTCACATGTTCTGCCCCATGTGGTTAGTACATTTGTGCTTGTATGTGTGTGTGTGTGTGTTTCATTTTCACAAGCCCATGTCTCATGCTTCTTTGTTTCTCCATAGATGCCTTAATTGTAATAAGGCTCAATAGATATTGGTAATTAATTGATTTTCCAGAGTTGTAAACAATATTTTTTTCCCCTTGAGGAGTGGAATGGAGTGGGGAAGCAATCTACTATAGTGGAAAAGGTGACATTTTGAGACAAGGCAGATCTGGGTTTTAGTTCTGGTTCTGCCGTATCAGTTGTGTGACCATAGGCAAGTCATACAACTCTCAGATCCTCTGTTTTTCTCATCAGTAGTGACACAAAATTATTATCTTGCAGAATAATAATGAGGTAATAATATTATCTTACAGAATAATAACCATTACCTTGCAGAAGAAAATATCTAGGCCAGGACCTGTAATTAGTCTTTGGGAAGTGGTAGCTCTTTTGTAATTATACTATGTATCAAAATTTGTTGCCATTAGAATATTTTATAACATAATTTTGGATGAGTTCTGTTGAAGTGCATCACCTTTGTGCACTTATGTTTGATGTCATGGTGGATGAGGAGTGTTGGTGAGACTGGCAGGGGGCAGGTGGGAAAGCTGGGGATTGAGAAGCATCAGGTAGAGGGTGCAAGGAGTCTTACAAGGTGAGGCCCACTCAGTCACAAAACCCAACCTGGGAGGTCAGTTGGATGGAGCAAAACAGCAAGAGCACTGACCAGGGAGTAAAGACAGCTGGATTTACTGCCTGTCTCTGTTGCAAACCAGCTATGTGACTATGAACTATAGCCAAGTCCATCTATCAAAATGGGCTAAGCCAGTTAAGGATCCTTTTTCTTCTGAAGTCTGCTTTAAGAGGTTGTCACTTTGTTCTCAATCAAAGTCAACAGAAAAGATTCATTGAGAATGACTGAATCATTTCCTTTCATGGGACACCAGTTAGGCAAGGTTTATTAGAGAATGAACCTAAGCAAAATCTCCTTTTTTCTTCTACTTCATGTTCTTCTTTCTCATCATCTATAACTAAAGGGCTTGTTTAATTTATCATCAAATCATCCAAAAGACACTTTTGAGAGTGGAAGGGGATGCGACTGCCAATTAAATTGGAATAACTGGTAATAACTGCGATTTTCCTGGACCAGCCATGATGAATGGCCACACTGCCTCTGACACTTTATTGCACTTATTTTTTCATCTAACTTGCCCATCATTTTGTGCTCTCTCCAGAGAAGGACCATGTCTTAACTCATATCTAGGTCTCCAGCATCCTGTCCAGGGTCTGGAACTCAGTGGGTACTCAGTAGGTGTTTGGTGAATGAAGGAACTCATAAATTAATTAGTTGGGACATATTGGGTGATCTTGAGCAAATCACTTGAGCTCTTGGTGCCTCTGGAAACTGAGTGGTGGACCAATGATTTCAAGATCCTTCCAGCCTCCCAGCCTCTGACTGTTTTCCACCTCCTTGGCAGTTTTCGCTTCCGCTCCTACACTCTCGGATGACTGAGATGTGCTCTGTCAGCACCAGAGGAAAGTCCTGGCCTAGAGTTGGAGCCAATGGTTGGATGGCTGTCAATGTTTGCCTTCCTCTGAGCCCAGGGAAAGATATCTGCATATTGGTGGCAGTCTGAACAGTGGAAAGGAGAAAAAAATTAAGAAAACCATGCTGTGCCTTTCTAATTTATGGTTAGTAAGGAGAGAGAGAGACAGACAGACACATGGATGGAGAGGAGGCTCAGCGGTGCCAAGGGCATAGAGTCAACAGGTGACTGGGATAGGAGGAGCCTCAGACAGCTGTTCACTTAGGGAGCTCTCTCAGCCTGCGCCCGGGGGGAGCTGAGCGCAAGGATTTCTCAGCCTCGGCATGGGAAGGCATTCTTGTCAGTAGAAGCCCTTCAGGGAACCATAACTGCAGTCATATTGAATCATGAACTAGATTAGCCACATTAGTAGAGGTTTAGCTACAATGTATTTCAAAGTTAAAACACAGGCTGTGGCAGTGGTATCAAAACCTATGATTTCTGATGCAAATGAACAGCATGAAAAATGGCCCCTGGCTGCTGAGATAGACAGAGGAATATGTGAATAAAATAACATGGCAGTTATGTCAAAATTGGAAGAATAACTATATTCCAGAATAGTAAATTATTATCATGGCCCAACTGGTAGAGTAACCCATAAGGTAAGAGAATGTGTTTTTATTTTTACCTGTATAAAATTACATTGTCAATTTTGTTTAGTCCCTCTTTAAAACCTGAACATTCAATTTTGAAAATATGTGTGGAACATAAGGTGACATTTGGAAAAAAAAGCATAATTTTCAAAGAATACTGACTCCATTAGTTCTTACATTACAGATGTCAATGAATTTAACTTTTATAGTGTTGCTAACACATGGAAGGCATAAAATGGACTTTCAACTACCTAGGGCTTTCAATGAAGTCTCAGGGTAGTATCTGAACTTTATAAACTATTTTTTGCGGCATACTGTCGCATTGGGTTTCATGGGCACAAGCTCATGGACCAGAAATCTCTAGCTTCAAGTCCTAGGGCCATTTCTTATTGACTGAGTCGCCTTCTGTAATCTACAGAACTGTTCCGAGCCTAACTTTCCTAATCTTTAGAATGGGGATACTAATACTTACCCTACAGGATCTCATAAAGATTAGAAATAATAATATGGGTTAAGTGTTCAATATAGTACCCTTGATATAGCTAGACACTCTGTATTATTATTATTAAATATCTTATATATGATATGCATCTTTTAAAATTCAGAGTTTTAGGATTGACTCAGAGGTTAAAGCAAATATTGTGGGTTTAGTGTTTTGTTTACATATTTAAATTTTGTACATGTTTGAATTGACTCTGCTGGGGGTTGTTTGTATTATACTGAGTTAACCTTTTCAAATGCTTTCTGAAGTTTTTAACAAACTATAGAATCCTCCCAATCTGCTGGAAAACACAGGTGTATTTCATCTTCTTTTATTAAAATTTATACTAAATATCAGCTACAATACAATTTATTTATTTTGTAATCAATACAATTTATTAAAATTTTATACCTAATGTTAGCTCTCATTATTTATATACACACAGAAATACACACACTGAATAAATAGGTATTTATTTTGATAATTTCATATCTATCTGAGAGAGCAACAAATCAAGGTGGCATAATACAGTTGAGAGCAAGGCTTTGGAGTTAGGCAAACACGGGCTTGATCTGTGGCCTTTCTTATTGCTAGCTGTGTGACCCTAGACTAAGCCTCTGTGTGCCTCAGTTTTCTTATCTAGGAAATGAGAGTATTACCTACTACTGAATTGTTGCAGGGATTAAACAAGTGAAAATATGTGCATGGTTGGCATGGTGTCTGTCACACAGTACCATCTATATAAATAGTACCTGTTGTGAAAAAAACCATTCAGGGCTGGAAACTATAATTTGATCAGAGGGCAGAAATATTTACAGGGTTATTCCATACCTGAAAATCATGTAAATATCCAGATAGTTCTTATGAGATGATTGGAAGAATGGATCTAATTTCTCTGTAGACAATGGGATCTTTTTGGTTTTTTCAAGACTGGATAGGATTATTCATTTGGTGTTTCAATATATTTCTTAGCTCGCAAAAGTCATGGCAGAAAGAAAGCAAAACTGCACATTGTACACGGTTGGCTTAATACTACATTTAGAAGAAGCTAGTTGTTTTTTTTTCTTTTCTGAAAGATAACTTACTATTTTGGCTATCAACAAGTATTTTGTTAACATTATAGGTAAACTTAGGTGTTCAAAGCATTATTTGTAACTGTTTTCAGGAGGGGAGTGAGGATATGATAAAGAAGTGGGACTGTAATAATAAATGTGAGGAAAGCTAGTAAAAATATGTAATGGTCTGAGTGAACATTTTTGTAGACCAATAGATGTATATAGATACAGTTTCCTATCTGAGGGTTTGAAAATGGTCTACTGTCATCTAATAATTTTGGTTGTGGTTCTCTTATTTCTTTTGTTAAAAACCCTCAGGTATTTGCACTGGGTGTCCCCCATGGTGAAAATGCATTACCATAATTTAAGTCATATTTAGTCAACTCTGTGGTTTCAGGGAGCTCATACATTTAAAATTTATTCCCAAGGTCATGAGCCATCCCCTATGGCAAGTGCAAAATGCCTTTGATGTGGTGGGTACAACATCTGTGCAGACAGATACAATTAATTCATGCAGTACTTTGATTTCACAATTTGGTTGGGAGTAAGGTCTCAGGAACCCAAGTACATTTGACATTAAATCACATTAAACTATTAGGCAAATAGGTCTTGTAGCAGGGGAGGTGGTGCCCTGGTTATAAAGTTTGTCCAGGAACACCTAACAAGGGAAAGAACTCCTGTGCTATTGTTATTGCCGTCATTCTAGGTTACATGCCAGCAGTAACTCAGAATCAGCTTCTGAAAAGCAACCTGTTCAACACTGAACTTGAGAGCTCCTAAAGCTGCCTCTCAGCTCCTAAAGCTGCCTTCCCAGAACAGTT